GAAACCTCTGCCATAAACAGCTCTTGCATGGGAGAGCTGGCTGGGTTTCCTCCCTCCTGTGGGAATATTGCAAATCTTGGTTAGAGCTTAGACAACCTCTTATTACGGAATGGACATAAGCAATTTATACATGTTAGTCGCAGCTGTCTTAGTAGGAAACAATTAGGCACATTGCTACTTACAACATAAACAGCCCAGAAGAGGCTTAGGACATAGAGCTCGCCAAAGCAAAAAATATCTCCAAAACTTCTCGATAGAAACAGGCTAGAGGGTTTTTTCTTTAAAAACAGTTGGGGGCGGGGCAGAATTCCACTGGAAAAAATCCCAACTTGGTCTAGCTTAGAAAAATTCACGCTTGTTTTTTTATTTTGTGAAAATTCTTGTTTCACAAAAAAAAGATCCCACAGTCATATACCTAGGAATCAGAAGTCCACAGTAAGGTCTCCTGTGACTTTCCAAGTCCTTCGGACCTCTGGAGAAAAATGTTTAAGAGAAGCGTAAGCCAGGGTTGTCGGTGCAATATGAGAACAAGCAGGCTGCAAGCGTTCCACCCACCCCTTCCCCTCACAGTGGTTTATCCGTGTGGCCTCATGTGCTCCTACACAGCAGGACTGCTGTCTTCCAAGAATAACCCTGTCTTCACTTAACAGCACCTTAAAGGGGTCTGGTCTGCCCAGTCTTCTCCCAGCATCTCAGCTCAAGCATCACGTACAACTCATCTGTCTCGAGCACATCAGCGTTAATACTCAGACCTGAGATGCAACGGAGGGGACTGCATTTAGCCAGGGAGGGTTTAAGATCCCAGCTATGCTTCCAGGCTGAGGTCCCAAGGCACACGCCCTGGATGCCAAATACGCACTGTGCTTTGCCAGTTAGTTTCCACTATCGTTTCTCCCCCTGCGAAACATCAGCCTGAGTCTGACAGTGACTCACATCAGCTTAATCCTTGCACCAGAGGCAGAAATCATTTTATCCCCATCTGGAACAACACCACAGCACCACAATCCAAGTGTTTTAAGGCACAAAGCAAAGAGCATCACATTCATGGGAAAACACCTAGAGGGTCAGCTAAGGACTGCATTCCCTGCAGTCCGAATTTTGCTTGAATACAAGAACGAGACAAGCCTGTTCCCTTGGAAGACGTGGCAGAAATCTGTACGCAATGGAAAGAAACAAGATCTGACAACGCATCATTAAAAATCCACTAACAAGGGGGTTTGCTTTGTTTCTTTTTTTTTTATTGTTTTTAAATATCACTTTTTTTTTTTCTTTCCAGAAGTCATTATGTCCGACTCCATTAACATTCAGGTAAACAAGTGAAAGAACAACAGATGGGCATGATCTCGTAGCACGGGCACAGCCGCCGGGAGCAGGGCTTGCCTTTCTTTGCGGCAGCTGAACATTGCTTTCCCTCGCCCGGCACTCCCTCCCTCTCCGTCCCGGCACGGGCGATGGCTGGCAGCATCCTGCTTCAAACGCAGTGAGAAGTCCAAGACAGGGCAGAGAAAGGCAGGCAGTTGTGGGATCACAGCACTTGGCCTCCCCCCTCGCTCGCAGCCAGGCTTTCCCCTGATGGTGTGGAGGGGCAGGCGATGGCAGCAACGGTGGCATTACCAGACCACCCGCAAAAATCAGACCAGTCCCCGGCTGGATGGCAGCAGAGGGCATTTTGGGCCATTTTCGGTCGTTTTAGGAGAGGCCCCCTGAGTGTGCCACCGCAGCCCCCCTGAATTTTGGCACGGTCACCCTATTTTGCAATCCATATTAGCTCCCCCACAACGGTGCCTCCCTTCCCTTGAAGGGGGGCACAATTGCAGCAGCCACCGCTGCTGGCAAGCAACCTTTTTGCCTTCCCTCAGCACCATTCTGGATGCGTCCCCAGCCTGCCTGCAGGCCCCCCTCCCAGAGGCTGGAAAAACCCATGCTGTTGAAGCCTGGTTCACAAAGCATCCTGGTGTTAAGGTTAACTGGTTGTAAAACTGCAGCGGTTCATCACACTATGCACACTATGAGAAATGTTTATTAAGTTGATTTTTGTTTCATTTCTTTAAAAAAAAAAGTCAGAAAGAAGTTAAACACACTGCTTTGTGGCATGCTCCACAGTATGAAAAAATCCCAAGCATTCAGTTAAGCTGTCAGCGGCTCTGTTTGACCTTCCGATGTGGTCTTTGAACTTAGACCTGGACAGTTGACTCTCCTCTTCCCCACCAGCCTCTCTCCTCCTCCCCGCCTCAGCTCTCAGCCATTTTCTCACTAGCTCCAGGAGGATGGTTCCCTGGAGAGGGGGGGGGTTGTATTTACAGCCCACAATTTCATCCTTGGTTTGTTTTTCGGGAGCGTGGAGGGGAGCAGGACGGGGCCCCATGTTGCGCACACAAATGCGCAGGTATGCAGGAGAGGGTCTGAGGCAGGGCAGGGGTCCTACCTAATGTTATTTTCCCCTTCACCGCAGCCAGCTTTGGGACCGACCAACTGGCAGAAGAGCCCTGTCGCTTTTGGATCCTGAGCGCTTGCAACAGGGCGAGTCCCCTCAGCCCTTCACAGCTCCCCCTCTAGTTTGTTTTAACTCGGGTCCAGCTTCACAGGAGGCCAGACTAGAGGAGACCCAAGTGGGTAGTTTTTTTGTGAGGGTTTCTCAGCTACTTCACCGTTCTTAAGCATGACGGTTCCTCTCTGTCCCCCTTCTCCCAGGGCTGACCCCTCGTGCTAGAGCTGATGACTATTCCATCGAACATGGGGACCCTCAGCTAGTAACTCCAAAGAAAGCATTACCCTCTCCCTGCAAAACTCCTTCTGCCCCCTCCCACGACCTTCCCAGCCGCTGGCTGTTTCCCTCCCGCAGCACCTTTCCCGCAGCAGCCGCAGGGACAGGAGGTGGCCCGGGGAGCTGCCTCTGGAGCTCCCCACAGTGACAAGCCACCTCTGAAATGAGCCAGAGAGCAAACTGCAGCCCGTGCGGGACATGGTCTGAGCAAACATCCTGCTCTTCTTCCTCCTACAGCTCTCAGACTCCCTCTCCAAGTACCACTTTCTCCCAATTGCTCCTGCCTGGGACAACCCAGACCCCTAAAGCTACAATGTCCAAGGACACACCTGACCTTCATCGAGACCTAGTCTGTCTTCAAACAGAGCTCCAGCTACACGCACAGCATCAACTGAATACTGAACAATATCAAAAACACGGTATAAGGAAAGAAAACAGAATTGAAATGCTTAATGGCATATTTATACACATTTATCAACAGTCAACAAAAAAGGCGGCAAGTTACACATCCATTCTGTATGCTAACAATCCCGATGCACATATATGTAAACACACATGCTTGGTTGATGCATATACATGTAGCCACATAACAGAGTAGATGACCTGAAGGAGCTATGCTGGGGAGCAGGGGAAGGGGTTACCTACTGCAAAACCTCGTCTCATTCTTGATGTGCACAACGTGGACATTCAGGGCAGTGTCGCTTTAAGGCTGTTTCTAAGGCTGAATCTTTTCTTGTCCAACCCCTCAATCCGAAGTTCTGTTGAAGCACTTCCTCCTCTTACCCAGCACAACTTGATATATATATATATATTTACCTATATACTTTTTAAAGGCCCTATATACTAAAAGGCAGGAAGAGGAAAGGGGGGAGCGGAAGGGGGAAAAAGCCTCCGAATGGATCAGTCTGCCCCAGCGCAGGAATTTCCTATCCCGTAATGGCAAAGGCCATGGCAGCCACGTGCAGTGGACAAGGTACTAGTTCAAAATGATCGCGCGTCTCCCTCCCTACCTGATCTGAAGCTCTTCGTTGCAACGAAGGGGGAGAGTGAAATACTTTAAGAAACAGAAACATTCCTGAAGTGGGGAAGATGATCACTAGTTTCAACTCCTCCCCTTACCTGCTTCGAGGTGGCAAAGAGCTGAGAGATACTATCATTTCCAGCTCAAGTGCCCGTACGGCTAAGGAAAAGACTTTGCTTAAAAATATATATCTATAGAACTATACATATAGATCATCTTTTTAGAGACACTCTGATTTTATTACATAGCTCCCGGGTCACTCTCCCCCTCTATCTACATGGTAACGGAGTGGCATACAACAGAAGCCACATACATCGAATGGGCAATCAAAGCTTACCAGGTCACAAGAAAGTGTTTCAACTGGTGCGATCTAAAATCCTGAATTCCCTTGCTTTGATAAGCTGATCTCCTGCTATTGATGCAACTGGAGTGGAAGGTCTTAAAAATAAACTTTCTGGGGTTTTTTTTTTTTTTGGTTTTTTTTAAGGTTATGACAATTTTCCAGCAATGTTACAGTGTGTGACAATATGCTATAAGTAAGGAAAATTTCATTGAACAAGAGAGTGATGCAAAGATGAGATTTTAAACATGTATGCATATGGCTGGGAACCCCCAAGCATCATCCTGCAATACATAAATGCAGGATTTCTAAGATTAAGGACTTTTTTTTTTAAAAAGTTTTCTTCTTTTTTCCAATATAATTTGTACGCAAGCACTAGCTTAACAGTGGAAACTTAGTACAGAACTAGACTCTCCCAAAAACATATGTCTATAAAGAAACATTGAAGGAAGTTAAAAAAGTGACTTAATTTTCGTTTGTTATATTTGAAAAACTGGGATTGAAATTCACGCCCAGCCAGTGACCCTTTATTGTAACGAATCAATGGAAATGAGCCAATTTATAAAGTTATAGCCCCAAGGAAAAAACCACAAAACCAAAAAGCCAAAAACATCCCCACTCTTCAGAGAGTAAAAAAAAAATTTAAGCATGACTTCTGTTAAGGATTGACCTAGCGATGCAAACAGGTTGGAGAGGAACAACGCGCCTGCGTTTCCCCGGGACACATCGCACCCAGGCGACGGGGGCTGTTTCCTCTCCTCTCTCCCAGGCTTCGGGCAGCTTGGAAATGCCAGGGAGTTGGGGTGATGGTAGGAAAAGATGAGTACGAGTGAACAAAAATGCTAAATCCTGCTTCAGCATCCAATTACGTATATAAAAAAAGTCGGTGTTGAAAAAGAGAGTAAAAACCAAGGCAAAGTTTTCTGATAACAGGCTGCAGCCTTCTCCTCTGTACATCTTCCACCAACGTTATTTCTGAGTTACGGGGGGTGGGGAAGGGGGAGGAAGGACTCGATCTCCTGCTACAGCAGCTTTCCCCATCACACAAAACTGATGTGTAACTAACTCAGCCACAAGGATACGGGAAAGTTTTATTTATTAAAAAAAAAAAAGTACTTCAAAATAAAAATGATAAGTACTGTATGGTAATATTGGAAGTATTTATATACATAGTTTTCTTTGTCTTTTGTTGAAATGTCTCCTGGTCACTTGGTGGCACTTGGGGTCCCCTCTAGCGCCGTCCGCCCTGCTCCCCCCTTCCCCTCCCCGGCTCTCACGGCTCAGTAGACGGAGCTGTTCCTTATGCCACAGCACAGCACCATGCTCAGGATCATTTCGAAGATCTGTCGGGAGACACAGGGGCACCAGTGAGGCCCCGACCAGTACGATGCAGGAGCTCCCCCCCGTCCCGAGGTCCCGCACTCCACATAAACACTCTCGTGCCAGAGATAAGGGCAGAGATGCTATGTCTTCGCTGCTGTTTTCATTAGGAGTTGGCCAATGTGAGATAAGATGATGTTCTCCCCTCTCTCGCTGGCAGCGGTGGTGGTACGTGGCAAGCCTCCCAGCTGCCAGCTATGCCGCAAACGCTTCAAGATCGGCATTACAGCCCAGCCCTTGCGCAGGCGCTGCGTTACCAGCCCACGCCACCCACCGCTCACTGCGGAGCAAACCCACCGTGCCAAGGAAAGCAAACCCCTTCCCGCTGCAGACCCCAGCGACAAAACACGGCGGCCTGAGAAACGAGCAGTTTCGGAGGCAGCGAGGAGGCTCGACAGTGCTCTGCCCTTCTGGACGGGGTTGCAGGTGCTCCTGCTTTACCGCGCTCCCCTGCCCTGACATCCCGACCCCTCGGAGGGATGACGAAGCCCTCGGGCTCGCCAGGTCCCAGAGCAGCCGGGGTGCGGAGGGCTGGCGCAGGGGCATCCGAGGAGAGGGACGGATCCAGCCCAGCTGGAATGGGACCGGGGCACCCCGAGGTGGCTTTTCCCCGTCCCACAACAGCAGGGCGCCGCGCAGTCACGCTTACCATGATCACGGCGACCACGATGGCAGCGATACCGATCAGGTACAGCTTCCCGGAGAACAGCTCGTCGATTTTTTTGTGGCAGCTGGAGGACTGAAGCAGAGAAGCACGCTGGTCAGAGAGCCTGCTTTCCCCTCGCCCGCCCCCGGCGCCCAGAAAGGCCGGTCTGCTTCCCCCCGGTCCCGCTCGCGTTCCTGGGTCCCGGCTCTAGGACTTCCCACCATTCTTCACCCCTCCACGCCTGCCAGCTCCCTCAAGCAGGAACAGCAAAGGAAGAACCGACGGGAACCTCCGACATCCCTCTACACCATCCCCAAATAAATGAGATCTCTACCCTTTATCTAATTCCCAATAAATCCCCGCATTTCCCTGGCAGCCAAGTTTCCTCGCAGGAGCTGCGGCTGAGCAAAGAGCAGCCGTGCCTACCTCAATAAAGTTTTTCAGGAAGGAGTCCTTCTTTGGGCAGAGGTCGTCTCTCCACAGGGGAGTGATAGCTGCTATTGCATTATCAGGACCACAGCAGTCCAGCTACATGGAGAGAGGAGGAAAAAAAAAAAAAAACAACAAAACCCCAGCATTAGCAGGCAGCAAACACTCATGCAATGCTCTCCCCACCATTAAACATCCTTGAAGCCACGCAAGACGGAGGAGATATCTTGGAGGGGTAAACAAGGGAGGGGAAATAACTCTCCAAATCCGATTTTTTTCTTTCCGTGCAATGCAGCTGCTTCCTACAATAGTCCCAGACAGGTCTGGCATTGCTATCCTGGGGGACCGTGAACCCAACTCTCTCCAGAGATTTTGTTTCCTGCTAAAAAAAGGAAGTATGGCGATTAGTTCCTCAGAGGAACAGTTTTCTTCCATTGAATTTTACTTAAATCAGGGGTGCTGAGGTAAATGAAAAGCAACTTAATTAGAGCTTGGGCCAGACTTCCCAGTGCAGTGTGAAGGACTGAATATTGAAGAGGACGCAACTCTGCTTCTTGACATGTAAAAACAGCAAACTTGACAGGCTAAGACCTGCATGTAACATCATCTGCTTTAGACCCTGCTTTTCCCATTCATTTTCGGGACCCCCATTTTTAATTCTCTTTCCTCCCACATTCTCATTTCCTCTGGCCACAAGAAACTCCTACGGAGAGGAGATTTCTACACAGAGCTTGGGAATCAGGCAGCAAAATCCCAGTGCTGAGAACGCCTTTGATCCAGTTCACTCCCAAGCATCAAAAAACCCAGTGTTGCCTTCATTCCCTGCCCAAGGACTTGTACCTTAACTTATCGCCTCCGCCTCGGCGGGGAGGATCAGTCTATGCGCAGCGACAGTCGCCCCTCACCACTTACCCACTGACAAACCGCACGCAGAAGTTAACAGGCTGTAATTCGCAGCACGCAGGATCCTATCCATCAGCGGTTGCTTTGGCCAACCGCGCGTAGCCCAAGCAGAGTGTGCAGCAAGACCACCGACGTCTTACCGTTTCATGAAAGGTCTTCACTACAGCTTTCCCGTTGTTCGTCTCCGATTCTGCCATGAGCGCTTGTTGAAACGCTTGATCGTAGAACTGCTTCACATCTTTGGCTATCTAGGAAAGACAGGGGAAAAACTCCCTTTCAGCCAGAGAAGGAGGAAACCCATCCAGCTGACGTGCCTGAAGGGGACAGGTTCCCTCTGATGGCACTCGCAGGTAGATGAGCAGTTTTTAAATAGATCTGGACCCCATTTATTTGCACAGGCGCGTGAAAAAAGGCCTGTCTTTCACAGGGCTCAAGTCCCTCCAGCCGTAGCGTGTTAAGAGCAGCAAATACTAAGAACCTCATCCACCAGCCAGCAGGTTCCAGCCAACACTACCCAAGTGCTCCTCGAGCTCTCTCTAGCAGGCAAAGACAGCCAAGGGCCGGAGGGCGAACCACAAGATCTGAGATAGCCTTCAGCCCGCGTGGATTTGCTGTTGGGCTCAGGAATGCAGGAACAGCTTGTTCCGAACCACCCAACGCATGGAGACGAAGCCAGCAGGCGACACGTTTCCCTGCAGAGGCTGCAGAAGCAGGACTCCCCGGGGAAGTCAGGGAGAGGTGGGGTGCGTGGGCAAGGCCATCCGTAGGTATGGGCACCTCTGGCTCGGAGGGGATGGCAGGAATTTGGGAGAGACTGCACACTAAAGCCCCGTGAGGTGGCTCATTTGGGTCAGGAAGCTCAGGTGCTTTTAGATGGATGTCAAACTCTGGGCTGGGTCCCTACTTGGAGCTGGGCACCCCTATCCTGTAAATGGCTATATGAGAAGTCTCATCCGAACTCTAGCCCCGCCACGTGGGCTGGTAAACTGCAGCCACCCATGGGGGTCTGCTCCACAGTGCAAAAAACCCCTCATTTTCAGGGAAGTTGGCCTTGTGGCTTCTCCGCTAACACCCTCCAATAATTTGGGAGAGACAGATAAAAGGAGGACATGCAAGAGAAGCAAAAAAAAAAAAAAATACGAGGAAGTACGAAAGGGAAAACGCTTTCCAGAATATCTGCTCTTGGCAGCGCAGGCTGGATTAGTACACGAAAAAAGAAACTGCAGGAAGAAGGAGCGTGATTTCAATCAATTATCCCAGCATTTCTCTGTCACTGCTCAAAGAAGTTTGCTTTGGAGGGCGATGTTCTCCGATCACAGCATTTGATTCTGGTACATGGAAAGAAATAAAATAATAATCCTACTTCTTGCCTCCCCATCCTGTATCTAAAGCATCTCCAACAAGGCAGGCTGAGGGAGAGACTGCCTCCAGCTTTGTGGAGAGCACCCTATGCCTGCGTGACAGGAGATGACTGTCCCCCCAAGGGGCTGCAAACCCAGGTGGAATGGAGTCCCTGCTGGGAGCAGCTCTCGGTGGCTGGGATCATTCAGCGCTTCCCTCCCGGCCCGCGTTCCTCCCGAGGTGCCCACGGCCGAGGCGGGGAGAAGCAAACCGCCTGCCTTGTGAGCGGGGACTTCCGAACAGCCCATTCATCATCGAGGCTGCAAAAGCAGCTGAGGCCAACAGACTGCCACCGTTCATTTTAAACTGCAAAATTAATTGGTCATTGCTCTTGTATTGGCAAATTCTAAATTTCTCAGCTTTACGCTCTGATGGGCAAGTGCCTTCTCCCAACAGCCATGGGATCCCTCCTTACTCAGGCTTCACTTTTTTTGCTGTCGGTTCAGTCGTGCATCTTGAACTCTTCAGGATTCACAAACTAACATTTGCAGGAAGCACAGCCCCCCTGCAAAGGTTAATTAGCTTGCCAAAGTTGCTAGGAAACAGCACCCTGCCTGCATAATAATATGTTTAGCCACGGAAGAGTTTATTCCGGTGAAGTCATGCTCTCTCCGGTGAATGACTACAAAGGGTGTTCCCATTCACGGTTGAGCTGGTCATCTGTGGCCTGCACGCATGCGAAAGCTGAGCAGGCCACCACCTACTTACACAGCTGGCTTACGTCTCTTAGTAAAGTAAACACATCTCCTGCTCTGCCGGAGAGCCTAACCTTGGCTTTGAGCACAGGCAGTCCCCTCTCCCCTCCAAACCCTCAACGGCTGAGTGATCAACACCCAGCCCGCTGCTCGCTGCAGCATGGCCATGGTTCCCATGCACTGATGGTTTTGCTCTTCCAGACCAAGCTCTGCACGTGTGACCGTAGCGAAGGGAAGATGAGCAGAAAGGGAAAGTGAAAAGCTGCAATTTTCAGCCCTACCCTTTAGCTAACGCCCTCCAGCCAGAGGACCTCATCCCAGCAGTCCCTAGCAGGCGCCAGGGACAGACACACGACTTCTACCCCTCGCGCGTGCACAGCGTATTGATCAGCAGCAAGCTCAGCCCTGGCAGACGAACAGCCCGAAGTGGGTTATATGATACTGGCAAAGAGCAGGAAGCACCAAGCAATCCCATTAATGCAGACGCAGGCTCTCCCCACAGGGTATTCCCTCCCTTCGGGGCCAGGCAGCTGGGTCCGCTCTTTGCTCTTTGGCACCGAGGACGTGCAGATGGCTTTCCTTCACGACTTCATACGTGAATCAACTCACGCTGTGACTGACAGCGTGGCAGCAAGGAGGAGACCCAAGCGAGACAGGGCTATTTTTATTCCAGACATTGCACTATAGACCGTAAGGCGCAGCTGCCACCATCAAGCGCTCACATTTAAAGTTCATCAGCCCGGCCAAGAGGAGTTAGGTGACCTGCCCGGGTCACACAGCTAATCCCAGCCCCCGTGACTCAGTCCGAGAGCAGCTCGTGAGCAAAACAGCTCATGCCGGGATCTGCTGCGGTTCTGCCCCAGCCTCCCAGTCCCACAAACGCAGGTTTCAGAGTCGTCTTACTTGGTCTTTGTTGACAAATCCCCAAATTCCAGCCGCAACTTCGCAGGCAAACAGGATCACCAGGCAAGTGAAGAACTGCAGAAACAAATCAAGAGAGGGACACTTAACAGATCTGGCTACAGGCAAAAGCAGCAACTGCATGGGGTAGGGGTGTGGAGCGGCACTTCTACTGACGGAGAACAGAGCAAGGTGTTGCCTGACTTCAAACCATTTTCTCTCTCATACACGTGCTTAGCCCAAACACATTTTCCTATAACTCATCGGATGCCACCCCACATCCAGACTTCCCACTGGGATGGCTGAGCGGGGTTTAGCAGAGCCCTTCCCACCAGGGACTGGCAGGGATGAGGGTGCCCTGTGCACCACAAGACACGTTGCTCCTCTTCACGCACCTGCAGGACCAGCCAGACAAGCTTCTTGCTCTGCCACAGACGCTCCGAGGATGGGAATTGCCAGTGCAGGGTTAAAAGCACATTTCAGCTGCTGAGGAGCTGCGGGGCGGCAGGGTGTGATTTATGGCCAGCTCTCTTGGCATCCACAGCCCTGCAAGGCTACTGCAGTTTTTTGCATAAATACTAACACTGATGTTTTCCCACAGTCCCACCCTGTTCGTGCAATTCCAGCACTCCTCCCTGCCATCCCCCCAAAGCCTCCCTCCATCTTTTTGTTCAGATCCCGGGAACACGTTGTGACGGTCGGTCTGTTAGACTGGGAATGGGAAGCCATAAAGCTCATACATCAGAGTCAAGTGGGAAGGCACGGACAGGCATGCTCCATACACAGCCAACATTACCTCCGCGACAACATCCTGAGAAAAGCCCCAAATTGGGAAAGTTGCCATGGAAGTAAAGAAGCAAAAGAGGTGAATGCAGTCAGGGGAAGACATAAAGTCATGGTATGGAGCGGGACAACAGCCCCTGGATCCTGGGCAGTCTCTGTTCCAGGCACATTCAGGATATTTTCGTCAACAACAGAGGAAACGGGAGTTTCCCGAACGATGCTATGGCCCGGCTCTCACGTGCAAGAGCAAAGGGTTATCAGCAAAATGGAAACAGGACTATTGACCTGACAGCAGGAAAGGACTTCCAACATCCTTGGCCAGTCCCAGAACAACGAACTGCTATTTAAACACCTACCTATCCCTGGTTCTCCAGGAACATCTTTAGGGGACTGGGTCCCACATCCCCCCCAAGGAATCACGTCACCCTAAATCGCGGGCGTGAGGCCACTGTAATTCTCTGGTTAAGCACTAGGGCTCACCCTTGCAGTGGTTACCCTCCAGTGAAGGATGGCTCGTTTATCCCAGATTCGGAGGTACAACTTCCCGCAGACTCAGTTCTGCGAGCTGGCTGCAGAACATCAGAGATGCCGTAGCTTGATGCTATGGGAACACGGCGGTGTTCCTGGCCGGGGGTTCGGACGTGCCCCTGCCCCTTCCTGGGGAGCGGCTCCCTCCTGCCTTCCTTGGGTCTCGCCACTCAGCTTCCACGCTGCCTTCGGCACGGGATTTTGATAGCGTGGAGGTTCCTGGTACTTTCCCCTTTTGCAATAAGCCTGTAGTCACTCCATTGGCTGGCTGCAGGCGAGGGGAGAGCGGCTGCTTCCCTGCAACACCCTAAGGGTGCTGCCTGGAAACGTCCTTGGAGCAGGGCGGGAGCCTCGGCCAGCGGAACACGTCCTCGCGAGGCATCTCCAGCCTTCTCTCGGCAAGCCAAGGTGTGGGCAAACACAGGCACCGCACAGCAGCTAGAGCTGCTAATTTCAGCCAAAGCAGCCGGTTTCCCTGTCGGGCCTCAGGTACGTTGTACCATCTGCCCTTCTAATCCTCTTTCCAACTTCAAGAGGGAGTGAAGGGTAATTCAGGTTCTGTAATCGCCTGCGTTAACAAAAAAAAATAATCCAAAGCTGCCAGACCTCGCTACAACCACCCGTCGGATTTGTGCACCGGCTCCTATTCTGAGCAGCAGCGATAATGCCTGCAAACTCCTACAGCAGCTCTCACCCACCGACGTTCAGAAGTGCTTTATAAAAGCTGGTGAGAAGCACCCCCTTCTTATTGGGAAACAGAAGCAACTAGAGGTGAAGCCATCTGCGAGAGCGAGGGAAAGCAGCTCCATTTCCCTCTCTCCCAGTTGAATCCACACCCATGGGTCACTACACCACCACCAAGAATCTTCTAGCCCAACAGAGCCAAGCGCTGGAAAGTCTTTCCAATCTTTTTTTAATTTATTTTTAATACATTTGGTTTTTATGTTTTACCCCTCCTTTTTTTTTTTTTTTTTGCATTGACTTTAAAGCTGAACCACATGGGAGAACTTGCTTTAAATAAATGGGTCTCCCTTACCCCCAAGGCAAAGGCTTTTGGTGTGGATACAGTTTATAAATTAAGCTCATCCCGTGCCAGGAATCCCGAGCTGCTGCCTCACATCAAGGACGCCTGTAGCACTTCAGTAAAGGATTTTTCAGGATGCACCTAGATGTCCTCACTAAGATATTGTGGGAAATCTTTGCTGTTTCCTTGTCCAAAAAGATAAAAATAGTAGATGATTCCTTAAAAGAACTGCCTTGAAACGGAGTGAAAGGGGAAGCTGTAGGGCACATCAGGTAAGAAAGAGAGTTTAGTGGCTGCTTAGTAAGAAAGCCAGACCACGATGGAGGAAAAAAGCATGGGGGGGGCTTCACGTATAACAGAGAGAACGAATCTCCAAGAATGCTGCTGTTCGCACCTCTTCTGCTGGGCTGCTGGCTCAGCCTCTGTCCTGCAGCCAGGCGCAAGCATGAGCTCGCGGCGTGCCTGCCAGCCCAGCCGGAGCTCCAGCACGCCGGGCAGAGATGCCCTCGGCCAAACAGCGCTACCTTGCTCCTTGCAGAGGTCACCTAGTTCCCACCTACGTGCTCACGCGTCCTCCCAGCCCCCTTCGTTGCAAAAGCCTCCAGCCAGGGAGGCACGGCCGTGTGCCGCCGGACAGGGACGTGGCAGGGACATCCAAGCGGCATCCAAAGCTTTGCGCCTCTTACCGTTCCCAGAAGGCACTGAGACTCCTGAATAGCACCGTAGCATCCCAGGAACCCCACGAACATCATGACGGCTCCGACCGCGATCAGGATGTAGATTCCTGCAAGGGAGAGCGAGAGGCAAACGCATTACTGCAGAGCTTTGGACCGGCCGTGCTGGCTCCCCGGGGTGGCTAATTAGGGGTGTGCAGAATTAAGACCTAGGAGGTATGAGCAGAGGTGGTGGCAGACATAGTAGAACAACACAGCATACACGAGGCAGATTTCGAAGTGTTTGAAGCTGTAACACTGAAAATTAAAACCCCCATCACCACCAAAATCAGAGGAAACGCAGAGAGCCCGAGCAGCAACAGGCAGAGGATGCAGCAGGCGAGACAAAGGCTTTACCGCATCCTCAAAGCTGCAGTGTGGGAGATCCCATGGCATGCATACCGGTTTAAATACTTAAGCAGAGGAGACGAAAATTATTAGTTAGCCTATCTTTTAAAATAAACAATAAGGCATATGGTTTATTTATATTAAACATCATACAAATATCTATCCGGCTAACATTTTAAAGGCAAACGAGCCACAAAACTAAGGGAAAAGCACTGCTTAAGCATCTAATTTAATATAATCTGGCTTTTGTTTCTTATAGGTTCTTCTACAGAGAGGAATACATTTTTTACTTCAACTTATTAAATCTGCACAGTCAACTTCCTCCATAACTAGTTCAAAGCTTGGAAATTAGGCATTGGGGGGGCTCAGAAAACAAAGCAATGAAAGTTTATTCATCCAGGAAACAAGAGCTTAGCTCAAGGCTCAGGTCTGCTGCCACTAGTAATCACCATGGTCTCACCAACCACGAGATTGGTGAGACCACGGTGGTTACTTGGCCAAATGCTACCAGCTCAGTTAAATTCGTTTGCTTTTCCAAAAAGACAGCTTTCTCCTGATGTATCCTGTATATTTAGTGCATTTTTGGTTAACTAATGTTCTCAGGTATTGTGGTTCTGCTACTTCGTAAGTGAATCCTACTTTCCATCCAAAAGCAATTTGACATATGCAAAAACCAATTTGACATATGCAAAAAACAATCAAAGAAATAATTACAAATGAGGCAAGACTGTAGTCACCATTTTTAACTGACAGTGAGGAAAAAAAAAAAAATCAGGATGAGACTAAATGTACATGGGGCATCCCAGAGGTAACAGCGATACAGTGCATCTTGCTAGTGCTTGGGAGACGCATCCCTTCAATTAAATGTTTTCTTTTGCTACGAGTCAAAATGTTTTTATAGTTCTTAATCAGTCTGTCAACTCCCCTTTAGGAACAGCACTAAAGTATAAACAGAGCTCAAGATTAAAACTGCTTGTACATGCCTGTCACATTTAAGGTTTTTCTTATCTTTGTAGCTTTTAAACAATCTTATGGTAATTAAAGTGCCAAGTCTAAAGGGCACGCACTGAGAGCAGAGTTAAGCCAAGTTAAACCCTTCTCTAAAAAACCAGACACATAATAACGGTCTCGACTTGTTTAAAATCCCCTTACGGACATGTCAAACTTGGGAAAGGCTCTACTTTGCCCCCCGCTTCTTCCCTCTTTAAAACAAAAGTCACCAGCACCCGAACAACGCGAGGGCCAACGCGGCGAGAGGCGGTGACGGGAGCGGCGACGGGAGCACCGCCCCGGCAGCCCCGGCGCTGGGACCCTCCGGATGGCGTTTCTCACCGGCGCCGCGCTCGCGCAACGCCTGCCGCTGTATTTAGGCGCCGCAGGAGGGAGGAAGCCAGCTGGAGGGGAAGCGCCGGCACAATGGAGCGCCTTGACCCCGCAGGGAGCCCCTCGGCACAAAACCTGACGGGCTCTGCGGCCGGCGACACCGACATCCTTGCGGCAACGCTGCCAGCGGGAGGAGGAAAAAAGCACGAGTCGCACCTCCCGAGGCGTGTCGAAGGGGCTTCAGCAGCGCCCCGCAGCCACGAAAACCCAACGGGCGATTGGGTTGTTGAAGCTCCCTAAGAGGGGACGGGACACCTCCTTGCTTGAAGGTGCGAAGAGAGAGGAAAAACAAGGAAAAGAAATCCCCCCCAGAAGAGTTTCTTGGAAAGGACAGGCCAGAAGTTAAAGTTTTGTGGGCCTGCCTGAAGTAGAATTAGGTGATTTTATCCCAACGGTTGGAGATGACGTGGGGCGGAGGGACCGGCGGCAGAGACAGCGTGGCGAGCAGCGGGCTGGGGTGCGTGCGGGCAAGAGGGGGCCCCAAAGGGTCTAGAGGTGATGGGAAGACGTGAACGCAGCCTGTAAAATGAAGGCTGTCTGCTGGACGCCTGCCAAGCTCCAGAGAGACTGATGGAGATTTTGGGATGCTACATAACTGCTGCTTTAAGAAGAACAGTGTATCAGTAGTGGTCTCTCAAAAAAAAAGTCTGCTTCTTGTCACCAGAATCTGCTAATGCCCAAGAACCAGCCCTCACCGCTCCAGCTTGTACCAGTGATGCTGCTGGTTTAGGTTTTCAACCCAAATTGCATCAGGTTTTTCCATCTTACAGCCTTGGGTGGCTCCACTGGAGAGTCTTCATCACAAGTCCCTCTGGGAAAATCAACTTTGCTCATCCCGTGTGCAGCAGCTTCTGACTTCTCCTCACATTAGGTCAGCAGAGAGAAGACAAAGCTGGGCTGGGGACAAGTCATTTCAACGTCTGAGAAGCCACCATTCATGCTAACCACCCCGGGAGATGGGTAACAAGCAGCTGCAGCATATGTGGAGACCAAGCAGCTTGATGCTGCAGGGACCCCAACGACCAGGATGGACAGAAGATTTTATTCTCAAATTCTTCAAAATAAACACTGAAGGCAACTTCCAGGCTGAACAAACGTAGCCAGGAGATCACAGAATCACAGAGCAGCCCAGGTTGGAGGGGACCTTGAAAGATCATCTGGCCCAACCTTCTGTGGGAAAGGGAGCCTAGATGAGACTATCTAGCACCCTGTCCAGTTATATCATGAAAGCCTCCAGTGATGGGGACTCTATCACAGCCCTAGGCAGCTTGTTTCAGTGAATGATTGTTCTCAAAATGTCCTTCTTATATTAGAGATCATCAGGAAAACGTAACAGCCACTGGTGGCCAGGAAAGTTTTGCTCTGAAAACTAGGAGATAAAAGCCCAGCGAGAACCTCAACTGATGGAGGAGACTAAGAGGGACCAGAGACAACCGCCATTTTATAGAAGTCTTCCAGAGGCCTCTGTACTTGCTTCTTGCTGGGATTTGTGCAGCTTCAAAAAAAACCCAAAACCAAACCCGACCGTCTGAACTCCCAGCCCAGACAGGCTGTGCAGACCTCGGACAGACAAGCGAGGTCCCGGCTTCCTGCCTCTCTCCCCGCTCACGCTTCCCCAGCGCTGGCAGGCGAGCAAACAGCAAGAAGTAAAGGCGGGAAGGGAAGAAGACGTGCACCACCTGCGGTTTCCTGACCGGAGCTCGGTGGATGCGACCAGTGGGGTGGGAGCAGCAGGAAGGCGCAGCCAGGCAGGGGAGAGGGTGGCGATGACCGGCCTGAACTCCGAAAACCACAAAAAACCCTGGAAGGCTTTTGGGATGAAGGCCAGCTTCATTCCTAGGCACAAAGAAGTGGCCGTTATGGAGCCGCCTTTTGTTACCGAGGGCCGGAGCACTACAGCCTCCTGGGAGGCGACGGCGCGGGACTCTGCTCCAGAGCTTATTCAAAAACAAGCACAAAGTACTTCATGCAACAATAGCGACTTGTACGATGAATGCTAGCGGTGTTTCTCCACGGAAATGCCACGCTGAAGGCTGCAAAAGCAAACGAAGGCAACCAAAGCGCCCAACCACAGGCTTTGGATGGTGGCTGTTTTCCCACACCCATCCTTCCCCCCAGGGGATGGGGCGGG